GCGTATTTTATGAGGTAAATGTTGGAATATCGAATGATTGCAACACTGAAGTTCCGAGAGATATGTTTAACAGCGTGATAGTTTATTGTATTTGTTGTTGGTGTTGCTGTTATCTTATTGGATATTGTTTCTGGAACGAAGAGTTAGAGCACGAATTGTGTTGGATATACGTAAGTGTATGTGCTTGCTCGCGGATCATCATGGATTCGTCTCCTGTGGTATGAAACAATAGTCTGGTTAGGTTGTGATGACAACGAAATGTAGCGGCAATGGTGCTGTCACAGTTGAAGAACATTGAAACATGTCACTACCATATGGTACTTCATAGGAATGTATTATTCGAAAGTATGTCTTTGGGTTAACGGGTTTGTAAGTGATATTTCAAAGTGTAATAGGAGATAAATTCTGATAACTGAATGATTATCAAGTAGCATTACAGTTACTGTTAGTTTAGTCAAATGAGTGAGAGAGATAGACATCGAATACTATGTATGATTGAAGAATGAGGAAATAAGAAATTGAATGTGACTGAAAAATTGATTAAGGAAGAATGCGTGGGAGATGGATGAAGTAAAACCTAGATGGGTGAAAGGTGGTTGAAGTGAGTGAAAGTGGGTAAAGGCGGTTCGAGAGTCGGTTCGTGAATTGATCGGTCGTTTGTTGATCTGTGCCGGTGTCTGGATGGTGGATGTGTGAGTGAGAGAGAGACTGTGAGATTGTGATGGAGACAGTGTGGTATTGACAAGTGTGAGTGAATGCTGATCGACTGAGTGTTCTCGTTGTGTGTTGTAGGCGGATCGACGACACCTGGAGAAGAAGAATTGGTGAACGTGACAGACAAACTGGGAAAAGTGATTGCTGAACACCGACGACGCAGGAGGCGAACGACCACAGTCGGACCACTGGGTAAGTCTCACTGATTTGCCTCAGTGTATTGTGCGTGTTGAGTGTAGTCTAGTTCAGTGAGTGCAAGCTGATTGATGCGCGTGATGTGGTTGGCGGTGTGTAAGGTTGTTGTTGTTGTTGTTGTTGTTGTTGTTGTTGTTGTGTTTGTTGTACTGCTTTGTGTTTGTTGTGTGCATGTGGATGTTTGATTGCGGTGTGCAAAGTTGGATATGTGTGAGCTAGTGTCTGAGAGACAGGAAGATTTAGTGATTGAGTGAAACAGAGAGAGTTGGCCAATGGCATGCTTATGATGCGTCTAAATTATCTGTGTTTGAAAATGAAATTAGACAAGGAGTGAATAATCAAGGAAATAGTGCGTGGTTGAAGGGTCTGTATAGAAGAGGATTTTCAAAGGATTTAAAAATCTAAAAAGAATGTGTGACAAGTGTGTATAGGTTGCTATATAGAGAGTGTGAAATTTGAAAGGAGACAAAGAAGATTCATCGAATGAATAATCCGTTCTATGTTGCAGGTGAATCGACGACACCTGGAGAAGAAGAATTGGTGAACGTGACAGACAAACTGGGAAAAGTGATTGCTGAACACCGACGACGCAGGAGGCGAACGACCACAGTCGGACCACTGGGTAAGTCTCACTGATTTGCCTCAGTGTATTGTGCGTGTTGAGTGTAGTCTAGTTCAGTGAGTGCAAGCTGATTGATGCGCGTGTTCTATTTATCAGTGTGGTAGGTTTTTGTGGTTAGAGTTGTTAGATTTGCTGTTGCTGTTGTTTTTGTGTTTGTTGCAGTTGTTTTTTTTTTATTGGATTATATTATTGGTGTTAATGTGGATGTTTGAGACAGTGATGGATATGTGGATTCATGCATGTGTGAGTGTGTGCCTGTGTGTTTGGGTTGGTGGTGGTTTGTTGACGGAGCATTTTGTAGTCCTTTGGTTTTGATCGGCAGAATAGGCAGTGCATTGAGAGGTGACGATGATTGGTAGAATATTCGGCTGCAGGATGTGACGGACACGTTTGTGACCAGCGTTATCGACAAGATTGCTGTTGATGAGAAAGTGTTTGATTTTTGTGTGCTTGTGTGTGTGTGAGAGAGTGTGATTGAGACAGGGAGGGAGAGGGAGAGAGAGAGGGAGAGAATCTTTCGGTGATTGTACAAGTAGTTATGAGAGTGGTACTCTTTCAAGCAGTGTGATGAACAGCGAGCATTCGAATGATTGCTTGACTGACCGATTGAGTGTTTGAGTGGGTGAGTGTTTCTGTGATATTCTTAGTGTGTTTGTATGTGTGTAGGTGGTATGTGTGTTGTTTGTTGGATTGATCGATTGTTTATTGTTTAGTGCTGGTTTGTGAATAGTGGCTGTGTGCGTGTGTGAGAGAGAGAGAGATTGTGTGTGTGTGAGATTGTGATAGAGACAGTGTGGTATTGACGAGTGCAGGTAAATAAATGCTGGTCGACTGAGTGTTCTCGTTGTGTGTTGTAGGCGAATCGACGACACCTGGAGAAGCGGAATTGGCGAACGTGACAGACAAACAGGGAGTCGTTGTACGGCATCAAACACGCACTAGAAAACGCCGGACCACACTATCACCACATGGTAAGTCTCACTGATTCACCTCAGCGTATTTTATGAGGTAAATGTTGGAATATCGAATGATTGCAACACTGAAGTTCCGAGAGATATGTTTAACAGCGTGATAGTTTATTGTATTTGTTGTTGGTGTTGCTGTTATCTTATTGGATATTGTTTCTGGAACGAAGAGTTAGAGCACGAATTGTGTTGGATATACGTAAGTGTATGTGCTTGCTCGCGGATCATCATGGATTCGTCTCCTGTGGTATGAAACAATAGTCTGGTTAGGTTGTGATGACAACGAAATGTAGCGGCAATGGTGCTGTCACAGTTGAAGAACATTGAAACATGTCACTACCATATGGTACTTCATAGGAATGTATTATTCGAAAGTATGTCTTTGGGTTAACGGGTTTGTAAGTGATATTTCAAAGTGTAATAGGAGATAAATTCTGATAACTGAATGATTATCAAGTAGCATTACAGTTACTGTTAGTTTAGTCAAATGAGTGAGAGAGATAGACATCGAATACTATGTATGATTGAAGAATGAGGAAATAAGAAATTGAATGTGACTGAAAAATTGATTAAGGAAGAATGCGTGGGAGATGGATGAAGTAAAACCTAGATGGGTGAAAGGTGGTTGAAGTGAGTGAAAGTGGGTAAAGGCGGTTCGAGAGTCGGTTCGTGAATTGATCGGTCGTTTGTTGATCTGTGCCGGTGTCTGGATGGTGGATGTGTGAGTGAGAGAGAGACTGTGAGATTGTGATGGAGACAGTGTGGTATTGACAAGTGTGAGTGAATGCTGATCGACTGAGTGTTCTCGTTGTGTGTTGTAGGCGGATCGACGACACCTGGAGAAGAAGAATTGGTGAACGTGACAGACAAACTGGGAAAAGTGATTGCTGAACACCGACGACGCAGGAGGCGAACGACCACAGTCGGACCACTGGGTAAGTCTCACTGATTTGCCTCAGTGTATTGTGCGTGTTGAGTGTAGTCTAGTTCAGTGAGTGCAAGCTGATTGATGCGCGTGATGTGGTTGGCGGTGTGTAAGGTTGTTGTTGTTGTTGTTGTTGTTGTTGTAGTGTTTGTTGTACTGCTTTGTGTTTGTTGTGTGCATGTGGATGTTTGATTGCGGTGTGCAAAGTTGGATATGTGTGAGCTAGTGTCTGAGAGACAGGAAGATTTAGTGATTGAGTGAAACAGAGAGAGTTGGCCAATGGCATGCTTATGATGCGTCTAAATTATCTGTGTTTGAAAATGAAATTAGACAAGGAGTGAATAATCAAGGAAATAGTGCGTGGTTGAAGGGTCTGTATACATGCTCATTTCAAAGGATTTAAAAATCTAAAAAGAATGTGTGACAAGTGTGTATAGGTTGCTATATAGAGAGTGTGAAATTTGAAAGGAGACAAAGAAGATTCATCGAATGAATAATCCGTTCTATGTTGCAGGTGAATCGACGACACCTGGAGAAGAAGAATTGGTGAACGTGACAGACAAACTGGGAGTAGTGGTGGGTCAGCAGACACGCAGAAGGAGGCGAACGACCACACTCGCAACATTCGGTAAGTCTCACTGATTTGCCGCAATGTATTGTGTGTGTTCAATGTGGTTTTGTGGGATGAGTGGAAGTAGATTGGTGCGCGTGATGTGACAGATGGTTTGGTTGGTGTAGTTGTTGAAGACGTTTTGAGAGTTGAACTCTGTGAAACAGTGTGATGCAGAGCGAGCATTCGAGTGATTGTGTGATTGAGCGATCGAGTGAGTTCGCTGGAGAGCGATTGTAATGTTGGATGAGATAGTGAGGGAATGAGAGATTGAGTGTGAGTGATTGATTAGGTGAGTTTGTGATTGAGTGAGCGAGTAGATGAGTGATTGATTTGTGGAGTGAAATTGTGTGTGTGTGTGTGTATGGTGGATGTGTGTGTTTGTCTGTGTGTATCTGAGATAGAGAGAGAGACAGAGACTGTGTGATTGTGATAGAGACAGTGTGGTATTGACGAGTGCAGGTAAATAAATGCTGGTCGACTGAGTGTTCTCGTTGTGTGTTGTAGGCGAATCGACGACACCTGGAGAAGAAGAATTGGTGAACGTGACAGACAAACTGGGAGTAGTGGTGGGTCAGCAGACACGCAGAAGGAGGCGAACGACCACACTCGCAACACTCGGTAAGTCTCACTGATTTGCCGCAATGTATTGTGTGTGTTCAATGTGGTTTTGTGGGATGAGTGGAAGTAGATTGGTGCGCGTGATGTGACAGATGGTTTGGTTGGTGTAGTTGTTGAAGACGTTTTGAGAGTTGAACTCTGTGAAACAGTGTGATGCAGAGCGAGCATTCGAGTGATTGTGTGATTGAGCGATTGAGTGAGTTCGATGGAGAGCGATTGTAATGTTGGATGAGATAGTGAGCGAATGAGAGATTGAGTGTGAGTGATTGATTAGGTGAGTTTGTGATTGAGTGAGCGAGTAGATGAGTGATTGATTTGTGGAGTGAAATTGTGTGTGTGTGTGTGTGTATGGTGGATGTGTGTGTTTGTCTGTGTGTATTTGAGATAGAGAGAGAGAGAGAGAGAGTGAGAGAGAGACAGAGACTGTGAGATTGTGATAGAGACAGTGTGGTATTGACGAGTGCAGGTAAATAAATGCTGGTCGACTGAGTGTTCTCGTTGTGTGTTGTAGGCGAATCGACGACACCTGGAGAAGAAGAATTGGTGAACGTGACAGACAAACTGGGAGTAGTGGTGGGTCAGCAGACACGCAGAAGGAGGCGAACGACCACACTCGCAACACTCGGTAAGTCTCACTGATTTGCCGCAATGTATTGTGTGTGTTCAATGTGGTTTTGTGGGATGAGTGGAAGTAGATTGGTGCGCGTGATGTGACAGATGGTTTGGTTGGTGTAGTTGTTGAAGACGTTTTGAGAGTTGAACTCTGTGAAACAGTGTGATGCAGAGCGAGCATTCGAGTGATTGTGTGATTGAGCGATTGAGTGAGTTAGATGGAGAGCGATTGTAATGTTGGATGAGATAGTGAGCGAATGAGAGATTGAGTGTGAGTGATTGATTAGGTGAGTTTGTGATTGAGTGAGCGAGTAGATGAGTGATTGATTTGTGGAGTGAAATTGTGTGTGTGTGTGTGTGTATGGTGGATGTGTGTGTTTGTCTATGTGTATTTGAAAGAGAGATATGGAGAGAGAGAGAGAGAGAGACAGAGACTGTGAGATTGTGATAGAGACAGTGTGGTATTGACGAGTGCAGGTAAATAAATGCTGGTCGACTGAGTGTTCTCGTTGTGTGTTGTAGGCGAATCGACGACACCTGGAGAAGAAGAATTGGTGAACGTGACAGACAAACTGGGAGTAGTGGTGGGTCAGCAGACACGCAGAAGGAGGCGAACGACCACACTCGCAACACTCGGTAAGTCTCACTGATTTGCCGCAATGTATTGTGTGTGTTCAATGTGGTTTTGTGGGATGAGTGGAAGTAGATTGGTGCGCGTGATGTGACAGATGGTTTGGTTGGTGTAGTTGTTGAAGACGTTTTGAGAGTTGAACTCTGTGAAACAGTGTGATGCAGAGCGAGCATTCGAGTGATTGTGTGATTGAGCGATTGAGTGAGTTAGATGGAGAGCGATTGTAATGTTGGATGAGATAGTGAGCGAATGAGAGATTGAGTGTGAGTGATTGATTAGGTGAGTTTGTGATTGAGTGAGCGAGTAGATGAGTGATTGATTTGTGGAGTGAAATTGTGTGTGTGTGCGTGTGTGTATGGTGGATGTGTGTGTTTGTCTGTGTGTATCTGAGATAGAGAGAGAGAGAGAGAGAGAGACAGAGACTGTGAGATTGTGATAGAGACAGTGTGGTATTGACGAGTGCAGGTAAATAAATGCTGGTCGACTGAGTGTTCTCGTTGTGTGTTGTAGGCGAATCGACGACACCTGGAGAAGAAGAATTGGTGAACGTGACAGACAAACTGGGAGTAGTGGTGGGTCAGCAGACACGCAGAAGGAGGCGAACGACCACACTCGCAACACTCGGTAAGTCTCACTGATTTGCCGCAATGTATTGTGTGTGTTCAATGTGGTTTTGTGGGATGAGTGGAAGTAGATTGGTGCGCGTGATGTGACAGATGGTTTGGTTGGTGTAGTTGTTGAAGACGTTTTGAGAGTTGAACTCTGTGAAACAGTGTGATGCAGAGCGAGCATTCGAGTGATTGTGTGATTGAGCGATTGAGTGAGTTAGATGGAGAGCGATTGTAATGTTGGATGAGATAGTGAGCGAATGAGAGATTGAGTGTGAGTGATTGATTAGGTGAGTTTGTGATTGAGTGAGCGAGTAGATGAGTGATTGATTTGTGGAGTGAAATTGTGTGTGTGTGCGTGTGTGTATGGTGGATGTGTGTGTTTGTCTGTGTGTATCTGAGATAGAGAGAGAGAGAGAGAGTGAGAGAGAGACAGAGACTGTGAGATTGTGATAGAGACAGTGTGGTATTGACGAGTGCAGGTAAATAAATGCTGGTCGACTGAGTGTTCTCGTTGTGTGTTGTAGGCGAATCGACGACACCTGGAGAAGAAGAATTGGTGAACGTGACAGACAAACTGGGAGTAGTGGTGGGTCAGCAGACACGCAGAAGGAGGCGAACGACCACACTCGCAACACTCGGTAAGTCTCACTGATTTGCCGCAATGTATTGTGTGTGTTCAATGTGGTTTTGTGGGATGAGTGGAAGTAGATTGGTGCGCGTGATGTGACAGATGGTTTGGTTGGTGTAGTTGTTGAAGACGTTTTGAGAGTTGAACTCTGTGAAACAGTGTGATGCAGAGCGAGCATTCGAGTGATTGTGTGATTGAGCGATTGAGTGAGTTAGATGGAGAGCGATTGTAATGTTGGATGAGATAGTGAGCGAATGAGAGATTGAGTGTGAGTGATTGATTAGGTGAGTTTGTGATTGAGTGAGCGAGTAGATGAGTGATTGATTTGTGGAGTGAAATTGTGTGTGTGTGTGTGTATGGTGGATGCGTCTGTTTTTCTGTGTGTATTTGGGCGAGCGGGAGAGAGAGAGAGACAGAGACTGTGAGATTGTGATAGAGACAGTGTGGTATTGACGAGTGCAGGTAAATAAATGCTGGTCGACTGAGTGTTCTCGTTGTGTGTTGTAGGCGAATCGACGACACCTGGAGAAGAAGAATTGGTGAACGTGACAGACAAACTGGGAGTAGTGGTGGGTCAGCAGACACGCAGAAGGAGGCGAACGACCACACTCGCAACACTCGGTAAGTCTCACTGATTTGCCGCAATGTATTGTGTGTGTTCAATGTGGTTTTGTGGGATGAGTGGAAGTAGATTGGTGCGCGTGATGTGACAGATGGTTTGGTTGGTGTAGTTGTTGAAGACGTTTTGAGAGTTGAACTCTGTGAAACAGTGTGATGCAGAGCGAGCATTCGAGTGATTGTGTGATTGAGCGATTGAGTGAGTTAGATGGAGAGCGATTGTAATGTTGGATGAGATAGTGAGCGAATGAGAGATTGAGTGTGAGTGATTGATTAGGTGAGTTTGTGATTGAGTGAGCGAGTAGATGAGTGATTGATTTGTGGAGTGAAATTGTGTGTGTGTGTGTGTGTATGGTGGATGTGTGTGTTTGTCTGTGTGTATCTGAGATAGAGAGAGAGAGAGAGAGAGAGTGAGAGAGAGACAGAGACTGTGAGATTGTGATAGAGACAGTGTGGTATTGACGAGTGCAGGTAAATAAATGCTGGTCGACTGAGTGTTCTCGTTGTGTGTTGTAGGCGAATCGACGACACCTGGAGAAGAAGAATTGGTGAACGTGACAGACAAACTGGGAGTAGTGGTGGGTCAGCAGACACGCAGAAGGAGGCGAACGACCACACTCGCAACACTCGGTAAGTCTCACTGATTTGCCGCAATGTATTGTGTGTGTTCAATGTGGTTTTGTGGGATGAGTGGAAGTAGATTGGTGCGCGTGATGTGACAGATGGTTTGGTTGGTGTAGTTGTTGAAGACGTTTTGAGAGTTGAACTCTGTGAAACAGTGTGATGCAGAGCGAGCATTCGAGTGATTGTGTGATTGAGCGATTGAGTGAGTTAGATGGAGAGCGATTGTAATGTTGGATGAGATAGTGAGCGAATGAGAGATTGAGTGTGAGTGATTGATTAGGTGAGTTTGTGATTGAGTGAGCGAGTAGATGAGTGATTGATTTGTGGAGTGAAATTGTGTGTGTGTGTGTGTGTATGGTGGATGTGTGTGTTTGTCTGTGTGTATCTGAGATAGAGAGAGAGACAGAGACTGTGAGATTGTGATAGAGACAGTGTGGTATTGACGAGTGCAGGTAAATAAATGCTGGTCGACTGAGTGTTCTCGTTGTGTGTTGTAGGCGAATCGACGACACCTGGAGAAGAAGAATTGGTGAACGTGACAGACAAACTGGGAGTAGTGGTGGGTCAGCAGACACGCAGAAGGAGGCGAACGACCACACTCGCAACACTCGGTAAGTCTCACTGATTTGCCGCAATGTATTGTGTGTGTTCAATGTGGTTTTGTGGGATGAGTGGAAGTAGATTGGTGCGCGTGATGTGACAGATGGTTTGGTTGGTGTAGTTGTTGAAGACGTTTTGAGAGTTGAACTCTGTGAAACAGTGTGATGCAGAGCGAGCATTCGAGTGATTGTGTGATTGAGCGATTGAGTGAGTTAGATGGAGAGCGATTGTAATGTTGGATGAGATAGTGAGCGAATGAGAGATTGAGTGTGAGTGATTGATTAGGTGAGTTTGTGATTGAGTGAGCGAGTAGATGAGTGATTGATTTGTGGAGTGAAATTGTGTGTGTGTGTGTGTATGGTGGATGTGTGTGTTTGTCTATGTGTATTTGAAAGAGAGATATGGAGAGAGAGTGAGAGAGAGACAGAGACTGTGAGATTGTGATAGAGACAGTGTGGTATTGACGAGTGCAGGTAAATAAATGCTGGTCGACTGAGTGTTCTCGTTGTGTGTTGTAGGCGAATCGACGACACCTGGAGAAGAAGAATTGGTGAACGTGACAGACAAACTGGGAGTAGTGGTGGGTCAGCAGACACGCAGAAGGAGGCGAACGACCACACTCGCAACACTCGGTAAGTCTCACTGATTTGCCGCAATGTATTGTGTGTGTTCAATGTGGTTTTGTGGGATGAGTGGAAGTAGATTGGTGCGCGTGATGTGACAGATGGTTTGGTTGGTGTAGTTGTTGAAGACGTTTTGAGAGTTGAACTCTGTGAAACAGTGTGATGCAGAGCGAGCATTCGAGTGATTGTGTGATTGAGCGATTGAGTGAGTTCGATGGAGAGCGATTGTAATGTTGGATGAGATAGTGAGCGAATGAGAGATTGAGTGTGAGTGATTGATTAGGTGAGTTTGTGATTGAGTGAGCGAGTAGATGAGTGATTGATTTGTGGAGTGAAATTGTGTGTGTGTGTGTATGGTGGATGTGTGTGTTTGTCTGTGTGTATTTCGGCGAGCGATAGAGAGAGAGAAGCAGAGACTGTGAGATTGTGATAGAGACAGTGTGGTATTGACGAGTGCAGGTAAATAAATGCTGGTCGACTGAGTGTTCTCGTTGTGTGTTGTAGGCGAATCGACGACACCTGGAGAAGAAGAATTGGTGAACGTGACAGACAAACTGGGAGTAGTGGTGGGTCAGCAGACACGCAGAAGGAGGCGAACGACCACACTCGCAACACTCGGTAAGTCTCACTGATTTGCCGCAATGTATTGTGTGTGTTCAATGTGGTTTTGTGGGATGAGTGGAAGTAGATTGGTGCGCGTGATGTGACAGATGGTTTGGTTGGTGTAGTTGTTGAAGACGTTTTGAGAGTTGAACTCTGTGAAACAGTGTGATGCAGAGCGAGCATTCGAGTGATTGTGTGATTGAGCGATTGAGTGAGTTAGATGGAGAGCGATTGTAATGTTGGATGAGATAGTGAGGGAATGAGAGATTGAGTGTGAGTGATTGATTAGGTGAGTTTGTGATTGAGTGAGCGAGTAGATGAGTGATTGATTTGTGGAGTGAAATTGTGTGTGTGTGTGTGTGTATGGTGGATGTGTGTGTTTGTCTATGTGTATTTGAAAGAGAGATGAGAGAGAGAGAGAGACAGAGACTGTGAGATTGTGATAGAGACAGTGTGGTATTGACGAGTGCAGGTAAATAAATGCTGGTCGACTGAGTGTTCTCGTTGTGTGTTGTAGGCGAATCGACGACACCTGGAGAAGAAGAATTGGTGAACGTGACAGACAAACTGGGAGTAGTGGTGGGTCAGCAGACACGCAGAAGGAGGCGAACGACCACACTCGCAACACTCGGTAAGTCTCACTGATTTGCCGCAATGTATTGTGTGTGTTCAATGTGGTTTTGTGGGATGAGTGGAAGTAGATTGGTGCGCGTGATGTGACAGATGGTTTGGTTGGTGTAGTTGTTGAAGACGTTTTGAGAGTTGAACTCTGTGAAACAGTGTGATGCAGAGCGAGCATTCGAGTGATTGTGTGATTGAGCGATTGAGTGAGTTAGATGGAGAGCGATTGTAATGTTGGATGAGATAGTGAGCGAATGAGAGATTGAGTGTGAGTGATTGATTAGGTGAGTTTGTGATTGAGTGAGCGAGTAGATGAGTGATTGATTTGTGGAGTGAAATTGTGTGTGTGTGCGTGTGTGTATGGTGGATGTGTGTGTTTGTCTGTGTGTATTTGGGCGAGCGGGAGAGAGAGAGAGACAGAGACTGTGAGATTGTGATAGAGACAGTGTGGTATTGACGAGTGCAGGTAAATAAATGCTGGTCGACTGAGTGTTCTCGTTGTGTGTTGTAGGCGAATCGACGACACCTGGAGAAGAAGAATTGGTGAACGTGACAGACAAACTGGGAGTAGTGGTGGGTCAGCAGACACGCAGAAGGAGGCGAACGACCACACTCGCAACACTCGGTAAGTCTCACTGATTTGCCGCAATGTATTGTGTGTGTTCAATGTGGTTTTGTGGGATGAGTGGAAGTAGATTGGTGCGCGTGATGTGACAGATGGTTTGGTTGGTGTAGTTGTTGAAGACGTTTTGAGAGTTGAACTCTGTGAAACAGTGTGATGCAGAGCGAGCATTCGAGTGATTGTGTGATTGAGCGATTGAGTGAGTTAGATGGAGAGCGATTGTAATGTTGGATGAGATAGTGAGCGAATGAGAGATTGAGTGTGAGTGATTGATTAGGTGAGTTTGTGATTGAGTGAGCGAGTAGATGAGTGATTGATTTGTGGAGTGAAATTGTGTGTGTGTGTGTGTGTATGGTGGATGTGTGTGTTTGTCTATGTGTATTTGAAAGAGAGATATGGAGAGAGAGTGAGAGAGAGACAGAGACTGTGAGATTGTGATAGAGACAGTGTGGTATTGACGAGTGCAGGTAAATAAATGCTGGTCGACTGAGTGTTCTCGTTGTGTGTTGTAGGCGAATCGACGACACCTGGAGAAGAAGAATTGGTGAACGTGACAGACAAACTGGGAGTAGTGGTGGGTCAGCAGACACGCAGAAGGAGGCGAACGACCACACTCGCAACACTCGGTAAGTCTCACTGATTTGCCGCAATGTATTGTGTGTGTTCAATGTGGTTTTGTGGGATGAGTGGAAGTAGATTGGTGCGCGTGATGTGACAGATGGTTTGGTTGGTGTAGTTGTTGAAGACGTTTTGAGAGTTGAACTCTGTGAAACAGTGTGATGCAGAGCGAGCATTCGAGTGATTGTGTGATTGAGCGATTGAGTGAGTTAGATGGAGAGCGATTGTAATGTTGGATGAGATAGTGAGCGAATGAGAGATTGAGTGTGAGTGATTGATTAGGTGAGTTTGTGATTGAGTGAGCGAGTAGATGAGTGATTGATTTGTGGAGTGAAATTGTGTGTGTGTGTGTGTATGGTGGATGTGTGTGTTTGTCTATGTGTATTTGAAAGAGAGATATGGAGAGAGAGTGAGAGAGAGACAGAGACTGTGAGATTGTGATAGAGACAGTGTGGTATTGACGAGTGCAGGTAAATAAATGCTGGTCGACTGAGTGTTCTCGTTGTGTGTTGTAGGCGAATCGACGACACCTGGAGAAGAAGAATTGGTGAACGTGACAGACAAACTGGGAGTAGTGGTGGGTCAGCAGACACGCAGAAGGAGGCGAACGACCACACTCGCAACACTCGGTAAGTCTCACTGATTTGCCGCAATGTATTGTGTGTGTTCAATGTGGTTTTGTGGGATGAGTGGAAGTAGATTGGTGCGCGTGATGTGACAGATGGTTTGGTTGGTGTAGTTGTTGAAGACGTTTTGAGAGTTGAACTCTGTGAAACAGTGTGATGCAGAGCGAGCATTCGAGTGATTGTGTGATTGAGCGATTGAGTGAGTTAGATGGAGAGCGATTGTAATGTTGGATGAGATAGTGAGCGAATGAGAGATTGAGTGTGAGTGATTGATTAGGTGAGTTTGTGATTGAGTGAGCGAGTAGATGAGTGATTGATTTGTGGAGTGAAATTGTGTGTGTGTGTGTGTGTATGGTGGATGTGTGTGTTTGTCTATGTGTATTTGAAAGAGAGATATGGAGAGAGAGTGAGAGAGAGACAGAGACTGTGAGATTGTGATAGAGACAGTGTGGTATTGACGAGTGCAGGTAAATAAATGCTGGTCGACTGAGTGTTCTCGTTGTGTGTTGTAGGCGAATCGACGACACCTGGAGAAGAAGAATTGGTGAACGTGACAGACAAACTGGGAGTAGTGGTGGGTCAGCAGACACGCAGAAGGAGGCGAACGACCACACTCGCAACACTCGGTAAGTCTCACTGATTTGCCGCAATGTATTGTGTGTGTTCAATGTGGTTTTGTGGGATGAGTGGAAGTAGATTGGTGCGCGTGATGTGACAGATGGTTTGGTTGGTGTAGTTGTTGAAGACGTTTTGAGAGTTGAACTCTGTGAAACAGTGTGATGCAGAGCGAGCATTCGAGTGATTGTGTGATTGAGCGATTGAGTGAGTTAGATGGAGAGCGATTGTAATGTTGGATGAGATAGTGAGCGAATGAGAGATTGAGTGTGAGTGATTGATTAGGTGAGTTTGTGATTGAGTGAGCGAGTAGATGAGTGATTGATTTGTGGAGTGAAATTGTGTGTGTGTGCGTGTGTGTATGGTGGATGTGTGTGTTTGTCTGTGTGTATCTGAGAGAGAGAGAGAGACAGAGACTGTGAGATTGTGATAGAGACAGTGTGGTATTGACGAGTGCAGGTAAATAAATGCTGGTCGACTGAGTGTTCTCGTTGTGTGTTGTAGGCGAATCGACGACACCTGGAGAAGAAGAATTGGTGAACGTGACAGACAAACTGGGAGTAGTGGTGGGTCAGCAGACACGCAGAAGGAGGCGAACGACCACACTCGCAACACTCGGTAAGTCTCACTGATTTGCCGCAATGTATTGTGTGTGTTCAATGTGGTTTTGTGGGATGAGTGGAAGTAGATTGGTGCGCGTGATGTGACAGATGGTTTGGTTGGTGTAGTTGTTGAAGACGTTTTGAGAGTTGAACTCTGTGAAACAGTGTGATGCAGAGCGAGCATTCGAGTGATTGTGTGATTGAGCGATTGAGTGAGTTAGATGGAGAGCGATTGTAATGTTGGATGAGATAGTGAGCGAATGAGAGATTGAGTGTGAGTGATTGATTAGGTGAGTTTGTGATTGAGTGAGCGAGTAGATGAGTGATTGATTTGTGGAGTGAAATTGTGTGTGTGTGTGTGTGTATGGTGGATGTGTGTGTTTGTCTGTGTGTATCTGAGATAGAGAGAGAGACAGAGACTGTGAGATTGTGATAGAGACAGTGTGGTATTGACGAGTGCAGGTAAATAAATGCTGGTCGACTGAGTGTTCTCGTTGTGTGTTGTAGGCGAATCGACGACACCTGGAGAAGAAGAATTGGTGAACGTGACAGACAAACTGGGAGTAGTGGTGGGTCAGCAGACACGCAGAAGGAGGCGAACGACCACACTCGCAACACTCGGTAAGTCTCACTGATTTGCCGCAATGTATTGTGTGTGTTCAATGTGGTTTTGTGGGATGAGTGGAAGTAGATTGGTGCGCGTGATGTGACAGATGGTTTGGTTGGTGTAGTTGTTGAAGACGTTTTGAGAGTTGAACTCTGTGAAACAGTGTGATGCAGAGCGAGCATTCGAGTGATTGTGTGATTGAGCGATTGAGTGAGTTAGATGGAGAGCGATTGTAATGTTGGATGAGATAGTGAGCGAATGAGAGATTGAGTGTGAGTGATTGATTAGGTGAGTTTGTGATTGAGTGAGCGAGTAGATGAGTGATTGATTTGTGGAGTGAAATTGTGTGTGTGTGTGTGTATGGTGGATGTGTGTGTTTGTCTGTGTGTATCTGAGATAGAGAGAGAGAGAGAGAGAGTGAGAGAGAGACAGAGACTGTGAGATTGTGATAGAGACAGTGTGGTATTGACGAGTGCAGGTAAATAAATGCTGGTCGACTGAGTGTTCTCGTTGTGTGTTGTAGGCGAATCGACGACACCTGGAGAAGAAGAATTGGTGAACGTGACAGACAAACTGGGAGTAGTGGTGGGTCAGCAGACACGCAGAAGGAGGCGAACGACCACACTCGCAACACTCGGTAAGTCTCACTGATTTGCCGCAATGTATTGTGTGTGTTCAATGTGGTTTTGTGGGATGAGTGGAAGTAGATTGGTGCGCGTGATGTGACAGATGGTTTGGTTGGTGTAGTTGTTGAAGACGTTTTGAGAGTTGAACTCTGTGAAACAGTGTGATGCAGAGCGAGCATTCGAGTGATTGTGTGATTGAGCGATTGAGTGAGTTAGATGGAGAGCGATTGTAATGTTGGATGAGATAGTGAGCGAATGAGAGATTGAGTGTGAGTGATTGATTAGGTGAGTTTGTGATTGAGTGAGCGAGTAGATGAGTGATTGATTTGTGGAGTGAAATTGTGTGTGTGTGTGTGTATGGTGGATGTGTGTGTTTGTCTGTGTGTATCTGAGATAGAGAGAGAGAGAGAGAGAGTGAGAGAGAGACAGAGACTGTGAGATTGTGATAGAGACAGTGTGGTATTGACGAGTGCAGGTAAATAAATGCTGGTCGACTGAGTGTTCTCGTTGTGTGTTGTAGGCGAATCGACGACACCTGGAGAAGAAGAATTGGTGAACGTGACAGACAAACTGGGAGTAGTGGTGGGTCAGCAGACACGCAGAAGGAGGCGAACGACCACACTCGCAACACTCGGTAAGTCTCACTGATTTGCCGCAATGTATTGTGTGTGTTCAATGTGGTTTTGTGGGATGAGTGGAAGTAGATTGGTGCGCGTGATGTGACAGATGGTTTGGTTGGTGTAGTTGTTGAAGACGTTTTGAGAGTTGAACTCTGTGAAACAGTGTGATGCAGAGCGAGCATTCGAGTGATTGTGTGATTGAGCGATTGAGTGAGTTAGATGGAGAGCGATTGTAATGTTGGATGAGATAGTGAGCGAATGAGAGATTGAGTGTGAGTGATTGATTAGGTGAGTTTGTGATTGAGTGAGCGAGTAGATGAGTGATTGATTTGTGGAGTGAAATTGTGTGTGTGTGTGTGTATGGTGGATGTGTGTGTTTGTCTGTGTGTATCTGAGATAGAGAGAGAGAGAGAGAGAGAGTGAGAGAGAGACAGAGACTGTGAGATTGTGATAGAGACAGTGTGGTATTGACGAGTGCAGGTAAATAAATGCTGGTCGACTGAGTGTTCTCGTTGTGTGTTGTAGGCGAATCGACGACACCTGGAGAAGAAGAATTGGTGAACGTGACAGACAAACTGGGAGTAGTGGTGGGTCAGCAGACACGCAGAAGGAGGCGAACGACCACACTCGCAACACTCGGTAAGTCTCACTGATTTGCCGCAATGTATTGTGTGTGTTCAATGTGGTTTTGTGGGATGAGTGGAAGTAGATTGGTGCGCGTGATGTGACAGATGGTTTGGTTGGTGTAGTTGTTGAAGACGTTTTGAGAGTTGAACTCTGTGAAACAGTGTGATGCAGAGCGAGCATTCGAGTGATTGTGTGATTGAGCGATTGAGTGAGTTAGATGGAGAGCGATTGTAATGTTGGATGAGATAGTGAGCGAATGAGAGATTGAGTGTGAGTGATTGATTAGGTGAGTTTGTGATTGAGTGAGCGAGTAGATGAGTGATTGATTTGTGGAGTGAAATTGTGTGTGTGTGTGTGTATGGTGGATGTGTGTGTTTGTCTGTGTGTATCTGAGATAGAGAGAGAGAGAGAGAGAGAGTGAGAGAGAGACAGAGACTGTGAGATTGTGATAGAGGCAGTGTGGTATTGACGAGTGCAGGTAAATAAATGCTGGTCGACTGAGTGTTCTCGTTGTGTGTTGTAGGCGAATCGACGACACCTGGAGAAGAAGAATTGGTGAACGTGACAGACAAACTGGGAGTAGTGGTGGGTCAGCAGACACGCAGAAGGAGGCGAACGACCACACTCGCAACACTCGGTAAGTCTCACTGATTTGCCGCAATGTATTGTGTGTGTTCAATGTGGTTTTGTGGGATGAGTGGAAGTAGATTGGTGCGCGTGATGTGACAGATGGTTTGGTTGGTGTAGTTGTTGAAGACGTTTTGAGAGTTGAACTCTGTGAAACAGTGTGATGCAGAGCGAGCATTCGAGTGATTGTGTGATTGAGCGATTGAGTGAGTTAGATGGAGAGCGATTGTAATGTTGGATGAGATAGTGAGCGAATGAGAGATTGAGTGTGAGTGATTGATTAGGTGAGTTTGTGATTGAGTGAGCGAGTAGATGAGTGATTGATTTGTGGAGTGAAATTGTGTGTGTGTGTGTATGGTGGATGTGTGTGTTTGTCTGTGTGTATCTGAGATAGAGAGAGAGAGAGAGAGAGAGAGTGAGAGAGAGACAGAGACTGTGAGATTGTGATAGAGACAGTGTGGTATTGACGAGTGCAGGTAAATAAATGCTGGTCGACTGAGTGTTCTCGTTGTGTGTTGTAGGCGAATCGACGACACCTGGAGAAGAAGAATTGGTGAACGTGACAGACAAACTGGGAGTAGTGGTGGGTCAGCAGACACGCAGAAGGAGGCGAACGACCACACTCGCAACACTCGGTAAGTCTCACTGATTTGCCGCAATGTATTGTGTGTGTTCAATGTGGT